GCCTTCCCAGGACGAAGAAGGAATGGGGGGCCTGCCCCAGGGGACAGGGCAGGGCTGGTAGCCTATCTGGGTGGGGCCAACGCTGACACCCTCAGGACACTCTTCCACACGCAGGCTGCACCTCACCAGCAGGTCTGTACCTGTGTTTGTTTACACCCCTTGCTGTGCCCAGCAGGGTGAGCCAGCCTCTGGGGTTACATGGACTTCTCTGACTCTCAAATGTCACCCCCAGGGGTGCCATGTCCTCTAAGGTCCCAGTGTGGTGGGAACAGCCTCCAGGACCCGGGGGTTAAGGTGGGATGGGGACAGGCCCACTTCTGGGCTGGTGGCCCTGAGCATGCGCCAGCATCTCCCTCAAGCGTCCCATGTGAGAGGCCTCCAGAGCAGGCTGGACAGGCTGGGGCCATCAGCTCCCCTCGCTGAGTGCCTCAGTGTCCCCATCCGTGGAATGGGAGCAACAACCAGCCTCCCTCGTGGGCCATACATCTGTGAAGGGCAGCTCAGAACAGTGCCTGGTAGAGGGAACACTGACCGGGTCAGTCTCTGCTGTCAGCATGATCATGAATGATCTGAACTTCAGGGAAAAACCACTACACTTTAGCAAAAAATGAGGCCAATCAGGAGACACTTCTGGGCCAACCCAGAGGTTATGACTCGTCCAGAAGCCCCGTACTTTCCAAGGCAGCCTCAGAAGGGCAGAGAAAGGTGCGTGCAATGCCCGGAAGGTACCGTGGCTGGGTGACTGCCAAGCAGAAGCAGGCGAGTCACGCCACGGTGGGTGGGGTGTGGGGGGCGCTGGTCTGACCCACACAATTCCCCAAAGCCCAGTGAGTTTGGCCGGGTGGTGACCCAACGGAAGAGGTGGATAGTCAGAGCCGCTGCGGGAAGAGTGCTTGGACCCAGACGGGCTAGGCCCACTGTGGCACCCTTGTGACCTTAGGCGCGTGACCCAGGCCTCCTGAAACTTGACTTCTCTCCTCACTCATTCAGGACGCTAATGTGTATGGGACACTTTTGACACACCAACCTCCGTCCTGGGCACTGGACCCCACAGGACACGCACAAGACAGATGCAGGGCCTGCCCTCTGGAGGCTCACGAGTTCTTGCGGGAGAGCCGAGGACACAGGGCAAACACATCCCGAGACAGCGTCACGCGGTGGTAACAACGGGAGGGAAAGCGGGTGAGACCACAGCTGGGGTTGTGGGGAACAGGGCTGCCACTTCAGAGGGGGTTCGAGGTGACGTGTGCGCTGACACACGAAGGCACCAAACATCAACCAGTCAGCGAGAACAGGAGGAAAACCCGACCAGCTCCCCTGCTGGAGCCAAACGGGTGCGGAGGCCGTGGGTGGACAGGGCTTTCGAGGCCACAGTTAGGGTTTCTGTTTTTCCCTCCTTCCTCCCTGGCAGGGGACACAGATGGGGCAGGCAGAGTGGTGAGAGGTCTGGAACAGTAACCAGTCTCCTCCGCTGCAGTGCAGGAGCTTAGCCCAGGGCCCAGCCTGTGGTAAGTGCTCAGTTAACGCGTAGCCCATGTCATTACTGTCACTGAGAAGGGGGAAAACAGCCCAGAGATGGGGCCACCACACCCCACCAGGAGCCATCTAAGGCCCCCAGGTGTGCACGACAGGAGACAGCCAGGCTGTGTGGTGAGCACAAGCTACAACACCCATGTTTTGTGCTCACAGCGGCCCCACCTGTGTCCATGCACCCAGATACAAGGTGGCAAACCTGTCCCAGGGCCACATCCCTGGCCACCAACACCTGACCCTGAGGCTCTTTCCAGACCCCAGCAGCCCCCAGAGTTGGAGTGAGAACTTGGAGAGGACTCAGTGCAGGGACCTGCAGGAGACATCTCCCACTCCCACAAAGCCCAGCCTGAGACCAGCAGAGCCCAGGCCATGGGCTCCCAAACCCCAGAATAAGTTAAGAAGAGTTGGAACCCGAGTGATTCCTAGGATCCAAAGTCCAGCAGACAAGGATCCGCCAAGTAAGTGCTGCATGGGGCACACCTCGCTGGAGGTTTCTGCGCTCCCGGAGGGCAGGGGAGCTGAGGCTTCCAGGACTCGGGCCCTGGCAGCATTTCCACTCATGCCTGCTCTGGGGAGACAGTAGCTCCCACCCACCCCACTTGCCAGCTCTCTGACAGTATTTCATTTCCTTCTCTACTCACCTGGGTTCAGGCAAGAAGAGCAGTATTTGCTCAGCAAATATTGCCCACGATAACTCAGCCAGAGAAGCAATATTTTTTTGCCAACCTATTAACCATGCAGCAAGCAGCGGTGAGCAAGAGGGGTCTTAGGGTTAACCCTCGTCTCCCGCTCAAGCGGAAGGGAGGAACAGGAAGAACCTCAAAGTATCCATTTTATCACCGCCTCCATGAAGTCCAGCACGTCCCGAACGAACAGAGCGATATTTTGGCAACAAAAACACAACTGAAAAAAGGCCGATTGTGCTGCCAGCCAGCCCCCGGTTTAGAATACAATCTAGATTTTCTTTTCTCCTGCAGCTCAAAACACCCCTATACCCACCCGCCGCTGCGAGGTCCTCCAGACGCGACAGTCGGGGCGCGCGGCGGACACCGGGGTCCCGGGGCAGGAGGGCTGGGTGGCACTGGACCTCCCCGCAGGGGTCCCCGCGGCGGGGGCCGGCTCCGGGCCGCTCCCAGCCCAACTTCGGCAGAGGCGCATCCGCTTCCCGGGCACCTACCTCCAGGGCCTCCAGGGTGCTGAAGCTGGCGATGGCGAAGCCGTCGATGACCTCCTCCTCCTGCGAGCTGGACTCGCGGCGGCGGCGGCGCGGGGGGCGCGCTGTGCGGGGCGCGGGGGCGGCGCGGGAAGGCGCGCCGCGGAGGCCCGCGTTCTCCTTGCCGGGGCTGGGCTCGGGCTCGTCGCCCGACGACGGGCTCTGCGCGCGGGCGTCGCGGGCGGCCTCCCGGCGCCGGCCGCGGTCCCGCTGCGCGCGCGAGCGCCGGCTCGGGCGGACCTTGGCCTCCATGGCGGCGGCGGCGTGCGCCCCGTCGGGCCGGTGACCTTGACGCCCCGCGCCCGGGCCTCGCGCGGCCG